TCAATTGGGGGGGGAAACGGGACACCTGTAATACTTTCAACAATAAAGCTAAATTAAAAAAAAAAAAAGTAGCAGCACACGTTGCAAGTGGTGGGTACAGTAAAGGTGATGTGCCTGGAGAGTTACATGCATTATTGATCATCTTCACAACTCTCTGAACTAGGTATGTTTATTTCCATTTTACCAACAAAGTTAAGTGATTTCTTCCAGGAACTAAACTCAGTCTTGCCTATTTCCAAACATTGTGCTCTCCTCACTCTCTCACATGCCTCCACTAATTCTTTTGCACATTGATAGGCTGTCAGTATGGGGAGTCTGAAATATGACTCTTATTTTTAAGCTTTCCATTCCTTATAACTTAGTCCACAGCCCTGTCATTCCCCACCTAAGAAATATAGGCAGACTTTGATCTAGCAATTCTTTAAAACAAAAAACAAAACACTTCAGTTTAGACACCAGCTTCCCATTTTCCAAAGTATGAGAGATCTGACCAGGAAGGAGCCAGCCAGGCATCTTTGTCATGGCCCCAGAGGAGCACAGAAGGCCACCTGTGCACAGACTTCCCTTCATACACAGAAAACCACTGCAACTGGAACAAGGCTAAGAAGGTGTGTGTGTGGGGGGGGTGTCTTTAATCCCTGTTATTGTTGTTGCTGTAATAATCACCACAAATTCAGTAGCTTAAATCAACACAAATGTTAACAGTTCTGTCCGTCAGAAGTCTGACACAGGTTTCAGCAGGCTAACATTTCTTCCTGGAAACTCCAGAGGAGTGTCTGTGTTAACTTTTCCAGCATCCAGAGACTTTTCTCATTCCTTCATTCAGGACCCTTTTTCTGCATCTCTAGAGGTAGTAACTCTTGAGTTTTTCCACCAGCACATTTCTCAGACTCAGGCAGAAAAGGCTCCCCGCTTAAGGATTCATGGGACTAGATTAGGCACACCTGGGTAATCCAGTCTACTCTCGTCATCTCAAAGTTCTTAACTTTAATCACATATGCAAAATCCCTGCTGCCCCACAAAGTACATTCCAAAATTCTGCAGATTAGGGTGTGAATATCTTTGGTGGCATTATTCTGCCGACAACAATCCCCATCCAGATTATAAGTACAACAGGCATGAACAGATTCAGGAACAAACACAACTGACTCTTGGTAAACATACAACTAGCTTAGGGGAAGCAGTGGCGTGTAGGTGTACCAGGGAGTCACTGACCAGCTGACACGCTGTGGTTGCTCAGTATGCATTGTGCATGTTTTATGGAGCAAGTGGACAGTGCTGGTTAAGCTGGTGAAATGTTAACTGGGAGTCAATATAGGAATAGGGAGAAACAGGAATAAGATTTTTAAAAATTTTAACTTGGCTCAACAGTTCTCTGCAAGGACGTCTTTTTTCCCTCTCCTCAGCCAGAGATTTTAACATCTTCTGAGTTACAAACTATCCGCGTATATGCATCTCACTTATAGTTTGGTTGCAATTACTTGGTTTCACACTCAGACTGGATGCTCCTTGAGGACAGGCCTATACTTGATTTACCGTTACATCCCATGATTTGGTAGTGACTGCTCCAGAGTGAGGGCATGCAGAGTTAAAGGAATAAGTGAGGAATACGCACCTTCTACACCCCCTTCTTCCAGGGGATGTATACCCATGGTTGTCAGCCAGGGTCATACACACGGTTACCCAAAGGAGTAGGGATCCTACTTGGTGTCTCACAGGAGGCTAGAAATGGTGCTTGGCAATGAAGGCTTAAATTAGAACCAGCTTATTGTTGATGGAGAAAGGGCTGTCTCACAGATCACTTCTGCAGGGGGTTGTAGAGTTCTACTGTGCTGGATTTCTTTTTCCTCTTTGATTGGCTTGAAAGCAGGTTCACACTGACAAATGCAGCAGGAACCAGTAGTTAACTGCCTTGAGGCAGCCGGCAAGATCCTGTATGGTGATACAGGTGTGCAATCCTCTTATGGTGATCTGCAAAGATCAGGTAAGCCAGCGAAACACCTCGAGTCCTTTTTCTCTTCAAATGTGTTTAATGACGTAGACATGGCATCACATAGGTCAAATTAAACAGAGTTGCTTCACAATGTGTTTACTGTTTTGCTTGTCAGTTATTTAGGGGTGATCATTTCTGCCAGATTATTTTGCCAGTGGTGCAAACAAGCTCAGACTATTGTTCACAGAGCTGGGACAGACTATGGATGTGGAATAGGGACGGTAAGCTTGTCACAATTGCAGGTTTGTCACTGGACTTCAACAATTCCTCCACCACTTTTTATTTAGATTTGGACGTTGACTAAACTCATTCCGGGAGTCCTTTAGAAATAGTTGGGGTATGTTTTGTGTGATCATACGGGTGGTGCCCTCTCCTGAATAGTAGAGAAGTCAATGGAAAGTATGGTGTGGTTTTATCTCCATTTTTGGCCTGATTGCTCTTGTGAATTCATCTAAATATTTCTGGCAAATTGGTTAATATTATTTAACTGTAGCCTTATGGTGTTTGATTTGTATGCATTCTTAGAATATTTTGGTCTCATGGTAGTTCTGAGTTAAATGCAGCTGTAAAGGATAAAAACTTGTTTTACTTTTACAATTTATTTTTTAATCCACATTTATCAGTTTGAAAAGTGGAAGAAACCGTGAATGACTACTGAAATTTGTCCTGAGGCTCAGCCTCTTAATCATTTGGAGACAGCCAAATCTGAGAATTATCTGCACCAGCAAAATTCCACAAAAGGTGGATGGTATGAGTGTTAGGGTGCTCCAGAGAAAGAGAACCAATAAGATAGCTATAAATTTCCCATATTTAATAAAAATTATTAATCTACACATTCAAGGTCAACAAATTCCAAGTAGGATAAACTCAAGGACTCACACCCAGACATATCATTGTAAAAATGATAAAATCCAGACATAGAAAATGTTGAAACCATCAAGAGAAATATGTCATGTATGTTGTCATGTATAAGGGAACACCAATAAGATTGTTCACTGACTTCTCATCAGAAAAAATAGAGGCCAGAAGAAGGCAACTGTCCTGATTCAGTAATGCTAACTCTATAAATCACAGGCCTATAGAGCTGCAGCCCCAGAAAAGAACTTCTACATATGTATTTACAATCCCAGCCTCATTTCACAGGCGAGGAAATCAATGGCTACAAGTCACACAGAGTTAGAGGCAGGTGCAGAAAAGTAGCTCCCAAGTCTCCTGACAGCTGGTCTAGAGCACCACTCTGCATTTGTTCAGATCCAGCATCACAGGTCCTCTTACATTTCTACCTAAGCTTTTTGAATTTTAAATAACCATATAAAAACTGAGTTACTTAATACTTTTAACATACTTACTTGTAAATAATGTAAAAATACAGAAACAGGAAGTATTAAGTATATATTTGTCTTTAAATATATCTCCTACCTCAGTAGTACATGTGAGTGAAGTTATTTTCTTCCAAGCAACTGATACTTTATCTTTGTTTAGTACCTTTAAATAATAGGCACTTACTACAGAAGTGATTTTATGTGCAAATAATGTATAGACATTCTACCCATAATTTGATTTCCCCCAAAACAATTAGCTTTTTAAAAGAAAAGCACACCAAAAAAATTTAAAGGCTCTGGATTCCTCTGCTGCTAAATCATTGTTGAGCTGGAAAAATAAAGCTTATTCTACCAGGAATCTCAAGTTAGAATTTCTCCAAAGTGCAATTAAAGAGAAGAGTGCCATTTCAGAAACGACTACTCAGTTCTCTCACCAACATCCACAACTGCCTTTCCAAACAGTTAAACCAGGTCGAAAGAGTCCAGAAGAATTAGGCTTCAATATGAGGCCATCAAGTACTCCTAAGACATTAATAAACCAAAACATGAAATACTGAAATCAAAACAAAAGATGAGTACTTGAGGCTAATTATCATACAGACTGTTGGTTCCCTGTTATATCCCTCCTTCTATAAAGCTAATAAAGGGAAGATTTTTATTGCAAAGAACATTTTATTTTATATATCACTAGCCATGAATGTTTGTCATTAGTTATTACATAAATGCTCCCTGGTGCCATTACTCAAGTGGCATAATAATTTTATGTTCTCAGTTCACTTTGTATTCAGAGTTTTCATAATTTACCTACGTACATCTATCAGTGAAGGTTTAACATTGAGCTGCAATCTAGCATCCATATTACCTGGTGTTTTGCAGATAGTAATGTAGAAGAGATGTGTTTTTAGTCACCTTTTCATTTGAGTCATCTTATGTAAAAAATACATCAGTAACTCAGTCTAAGTCTCTAAAGGAGATTTTCCAATGAGCTTATAGAAATGGTTAAACAGTAGGATTGTCAGAAACAACTTCCATGTCCACATCCTCTTGTAGTTTCTGTACCATTTTGTCTTCCAGCTGCTTTCCTTTGCCTTAAGGAAAAAAAAAAAAGAAACATTTTTTAAAAACTTTATCAATTCAGTGTGACTTTACGGAACTCATCAATGCTTTATAAAAGATCTTGGATGTTTTCAAATACATTGGACATTTCTAAGATACTTAAGAATAGCAAATAAACTTACAAAGATCTTATAATATGCTATGCATTAAGTAAGTGTTCTACTTACATTTGTTCATTTCACCATCAAAACAACCTGCATTTTATTTTACTTTTTTATTTACTAATTTGAAAGAGAGGGAGAGAGAGTGCGAGAGAGAGAACATTGATTTCTTGTTCCACTTATTTATAAATTCAATGGCTGATTCTTTTATGTGCCCTGACCAGGGATCTAACCAGCCTTGGCATATCAGGATGACACCCTAACCAACCGAGCACCTAGCCAGGGTACAACCTGCATTTTAAAGATGAGAAAAGTTGAGGCATACAGACAAATGAACTTGTCCAAGGTCACTCAGCTGGTAAGTCCAGTAAGTCAAAGTGATGGAATTTGAAGTCTTGCCCTCATGGATCCTTGGTCCCTGCTCCAAATACTGTACTACCAACCTCAGAGGCTTACCTAAAAACTTAGATAACAATGATTCATTCCTATTGTTTTCTGGCCATCAGTTTGTATCACCTGTATGTGAAACAAATGCTCCAGAATTCTATTCTTTTAATAAAATTTGGTACAAAAACCACCAGGGTGAAACTTTAACAAAAATCTACTCAACATGTGCTTACAGAATTTGACTTTTACTAAGGTTTAGGCACAGAATCATTCAGAAATCAAGTCTTAGACTAAATCTCACCAAAATGTCTCTCTCTTTAAGCAGTCTGCATAAGTAAGTACATTATGTGACAGACTGTACTTGCTGCCAGCTGAGGAAGACTGGTTTTCTCGAACCCCACAAAAGAAACTATGCACACAAACAATTGCCCAAATGAGTGACTATCAATAAGTTACATAAGCACAAAGAGAAGGATTCAATACAAAACTATAGTTCTCACACTTACATTATCAGAATTGCCTACAGAACTACTTAAAGACCAGAGGCCCAGATTCAAAGGGCCTGAGCCTCTGTATTTATGCTAAGATCCCCAAGTAATTTCCATACCACACAGTCTGAGAACCAATCTAAGATAGAACACTGTCCTTTACTAAAAACAGGTATGAGGCAAAATTATCTAAGAAAGTCCTGGCCGGTGTGGCTTAGTGGTTAAAGGGTCAGCACGAGCACCAAAGGGTCTTGGGTTTGATCCCCGGTCAAGGGCATGTACCTGGGTTGCAGGTTTGATCCCTGGCCCTGGTCAGGGGTGTGTAGAAGGCAACCAATGGATGTCTCTTTCCCTCCCTTCCTTTCTCCCTCCCTTCCACTCTCTCTAAAAATCAATGGAAAAAATATCCTTGGGTGAGGATTAACAACAACAAAAAATCTATGAAATTATTACTCAACTCATTTTGATTAACTTAGAGAGTTACCTTACATAAAACAGGATTTTATTAAGGAGAGAAAAAAACATGTGAAAAATGGACTGAAACTGGAATATACACTGAATAAATTATATTTTTTTACCAAGTTATATCATAAATACTGAGATAACATTTACATGAAAAATACTCACCCTTAAAAAGCTGGCTGATACCCAATTACATAGACCACAAAAATGTAGATTTTTTTCACCTCTCTATTTAAAGCAGAGAACTCCTATGCAATGCATCACTTACATGCAAAAGGGGCCCGGATGAGATGGATGTTTTGCTTGACTTCTCTGATGTCCTGAGCTTTCTGTAATTCCTTATTTTTCTTCAACCTAGGGTAAAACCATTAAGGCCAAAATTTCAGTTACTAAAACTTTAGACATTAATTCAAATTTTTAAAAATAAAATTTATTAATAAATAAGCCATACTGATGAGGAGTGGGAACTCAATTATTTTCTAGTTCCCAATTAACTTAAATAGGATTCCTACACTGAGAACCTGTTCATTCACTGTATCCCTAGTGCCCAAATGGAAATAAACTGAGGATTCAATATAGATTTGTGGAGTGAATGAAGGAATGAAACTGAAGCAAGAAATTAAATCTCAGAGATCAATGTCTAGTATACACACGTAGTGCAAATCTTTTCTACAGCCTAGATCTTTTCTCAAACAGAGAAGAGTCTCTGTTACTTAATTTCTTTAATCATTCAGTAATTACAAGAGCACAAACTCATAAGACATTCAACAAAAAAACTAACAGACTTATTCTCAAACATTTAGGCCCTTTTTCTGTGGCGCTTTAACAATCTTTTAAAGCCAGAAGTTGTTGGGGCATGCTTCTTTTCTATGATGGACTGCCAAAGAGACAAGAATTAAAGTAAATATGGAAAACTGCTAATAGAATATACAAGAGTTCTTTATACTAGCCTTGCTAGCTTTTGTAAGTCTGAAGTTATGTGGGAAGAAAGCGCCTCTACATGTGTACTAGTAATTATTTTTGCAAAAGTTACTCGGTACATACAGTCATACCTGTTCATTATAAATTTAGCTTGGCGTTTCTGTTTGATCTCTTCAACTCTCTTCATTGCATCGACTAGAGAGAAATTCATAAGAGTTAGCCAATTATTCACATTCAAGCAAGAGCTTTAACAATCACCTTACTCTTTATTCTGATTTATAAACTGAGTAAACAAAAAATTCATTTCTAAAAATCCCAACTTAAACAGCTGAGGAAGGTAGTACCCTTTGCTGATATCACTGTTAACTATCTTTTACAAGCTATCACTTCTCTAACTTTTATTTTGCAAAAGCTTTTGCTACTAAGTTTTCCTTCTATGATGAAGGAACCCAATGCTTTTCAAATTTTATTCTACAGAGAATTAGCAACTAATCCCATTCTTAGCTTGTGACCTCCATAATAAATAAAAGACAGTACCTTTCCAGTCATAAAGACCAGGTTTTCTTCAAGTATCTGGGATATAATCTGCACATTATGAATACTGGTAAAATGAACCAGTCAATCAATTTGCCACATTCTCAACCACTAAAATCCAACTGCTTTGGAAAATGTGTATAGGAGATGAGTCCAACTAGGCTCTAGTACTTATATCAGCACTGTCCAACATAAGATACACCACATATGCAATTTTAAATTTCTAGCAGCCACATTAAAGAGAAAAAAAGGGAACCGGTCAAAATTAAATTTAATGATATATTTTGTTTCACCCAACATATCCAGAATATTGTCATTTCAAGATGTAATCAATATAAAAAATTGTTACTGAGACATTTTATGCTTGTTTTCATAGTAAGTCTTCAAAAACCACATGTACTTTATATTTACAGCACATCTCGATGCAGACCAGCCACATTTCCGTGCTCAGCAGACCCTGTGGCTAAGTGGCTACCACACCCAACAGCATACTCCCAATCTAGCTTCTTAAAGTATAGTCTGTGGAGCTGAAGAATAGCAAGATATTCAGTCTTAAAGTATCACCCCACAATACACTAATTAGTGACAAAGGGCAAAACATGAACTTTATAGTGTAGAAACCTGGCAGATACCCCCTTAACCAAAGATCAAAGTTAGCACTGCCAGTAACAGGACTAATGAACAGCAGGTGCCTCCTCACATGACAGTGACAAAAACTCCACATCATGTCAATGGTGTTCCTGCCAAATGTACATTATCTAACCCAATTAAGGAATTTTAACCAAACACCTGGCCTATGTTCTTCAAAATGGTCAATGTCATGAAATATGAAAACAAACTCAGAAACTATTCCAAATTGAAAGAGACTAAAGAGACATGACATGTACTATTCTAACAACTTTTGGCATAAAAGATATTGAGACAATTAGAGAAATCTAAACAGGTCTAAGATTAAATGATACTACTCTACCAATGTTAATTTCTTGATTCTAATAACTGCATGGTGGTTGTATGAGAGAATGTTCTATTTTTAGGAAATACATATTAAGCTATTTAGGGACACAGGAGCACATTTATGCAACTTAAACAGTTCAGAAAAAAATTACAGAAGAAAGGAAGAGAGAGAGGAGAGGAAAAAAGAAAAGGCAAAGGCAAATTTAATAGAATATTAACATTCAGGAATCTAGATGAAGGGTATCAGAGAATTCTACTCCTGCCACTCCTGTTCAGTTTGAAATTATGTCAAAATAAAAACTTTTTTTTAAAGTGTAGGCTGGGGACCAGCAACATTGGCATCACTGGGAGTTTGTTAGAAATGCAAAATCTTAGACCCCATCCAGACACACTGTTTCAGATCTGCATTTCAATAAGATCCCCCAGAAGGCCCTATGGTGCCTCTGGCATTAAGATGATGTTTATGTAAATAACTCTAAGACAATGTCAACTCTAAATCTGCACATGCTGTGGCTCAGAATTAATAATACAGGATGGGGCAAAAGTTTACAGTTGTTTGTATGGAAAATAACACAATAATTAAAAAGCAATAATAAAACAGAATAAACTCTGCGTTTCACATACTCACAACTATAAACCTACTTTTGCCCCACCCTGCATGCTTGATATGTAACTTTTTTCCTTCTTTCTTTGCCTTTCAGCAACAAACTGTAAGGGCAAGTTCTAGAATTCAGAAGCATTTCCATACCCCAAAGTTACTCACAAGGGAAATAAACACACAGGTGGCAGGTAAGTCCTTTCTAAGAATAAGACTGCATTTCTGGATATTTCAGAAAACCAAAAAATCTTAAACATAAAAAGCATCTGACAAACATGAAAAATTGACCTGCAATACAGAGACATATTATGGATAAAATACAAATTATTCTTCCTATTATTACTGCTTTCAAAGTTCTCCTACTGCTGTTTCTGTGGATGTCAGCATCTTAACAAAGGTTGCTCAGTCCACCTCTTCACACAATTTGATAATGTAAGCAATAAATATAAAACTATTGTCAATAGGCTAGTTTATAGACAAGCGAATATTAAAATAAGGAGTGTGGGGAATCAAGAAATCTTTTAGAGGAATAACATTTTGTTCTGGAACACTACTAATAGCTATTAACTGTATAAGCCAGCAGGAAGTAGTTTTAAGTTCCAAACAACTCATACTGTCTACCCAGATCTTTGGAAAGTCTATTTTTAAGATCCCAGTATGTAAGGAAAACGGGACCTGTGCAGGGAAAAAGTACTCAATAGAACACCACTTCTTACAGAACTTGCAGAGTATAAATGAGTGGGGCAAGGGAATAAGACGGTAATCATACCTGAACCAATTACCACCAAATAGAAGTGATGAAATAGGAGTACCCAGTAAAATGCACCGAGAGGACAGGGACTATGTGCATCCTCGTCATCTTTGCAGGCTAGAGTTAGGGCTTATTGCTAAAGTATATGAAGTCTTACAGAACACAACAGTATTTCTAGCAATCAATGTAAATAACACAAAACCAGCATGGAGGGTCATAGTAACTGAATATCCACATATGACTAAAACAAGATATGCACCTCAGTTTCAACATCAACCTGATTAACCACTAAATAAAATATGTCAGGGTGATATGCAGCTACTACCTTCAGGTAGTAACAAAAGAGAAAATAAAGACCAAAATGAATTAAAACTCTATGGGGTCCAGAATTGCTTTAGGATATTCCAATAATGTCCTTGACAAGAGTGCCTTTTGGGATCAATTTAAGAATCATATGAAAAATGTGTAACTATGTGAGGTGACGGATGTTAACTAGACTTGCTGTTGTGATCATTTCTCAACATATACAAATATCAAATCATTATGTTGTACAGCTGAAACTAATATAGTGTTATATGGCAATTATATCACAATAAAAAAAAATCCTATGAAGTTATTAATCTCTTTAGAAATCCTTGAGTTTGAATCATTGTGATTTCCTTACCAAATAAACCCAACAAAACCAACTGCTTTTCAGAAAAGCTCTTCCTCTAATTACAAAACAAAATTTTTAAAATGTCTAAAAAAATTTTTTAAAGGAAGAAAAAAGAAAACACCAAGGGGCAGAATACTTAGTGGTGTGTGCAACAGCCAATTCTAAAACTGGACTGATTTCTCCACACAGTTCAGGAAGGTAAAGCTTTAGAGGGTGTCAAATACCACCACAAAGGCCCACAACTTTTCAAGTCTTGTGACTGACTGAGGAAAAGGTGTTGAAAGGGATGCCCTGTCTGTGCTCCATTAACAGAGGAAAAAAGTTTATAGAATTCTAAGTGTTAGGGACTTCTAGTTAACAAACTACATCACTCTCAACACAAGACTAGAAATGGCTAAAGACTCCACAGTGGGGAGAAAGGCAGAGCCAGGGGCCTCAAACACACACACACACAGACATAGTAGAATCTACGAGCTAGGCTAAAAACTCAATTTTACTACACGTGGGCTTTTTGTCAGTCTCTGCCTACTTCAGTAAAAACAAAGACAAGATATTATTGCTTTTAATTTCAGTAACCTATAGCTTCCTTTACCTAAGTTAAGCACTTAGAAGTTCTGATAGAAAATTTATAATTATCACCTTAAGTGCTGCACTTTTCAATTTTACCAAAGCACTCAATTTTATAAGGTATATAGAATACACTGTTTATATCCCTAAATCAAATTATCTAAACTTGTAAAGTGCACTAGGTTTTGTGTATATTTTAACTATGCCACACTCATCCAACAAGATATTCTCTATCTTTTTTCTTCTTCAGATTTTTGGATGTTTTATGTTTGGACACTTTAAATAACATCAAATTTAATTACATTATTTTTACAATAGACACATCAGCTACTTCTGGAAAGGATTTTGGGTAGCTTGTAATAAGACACAAATACAAAAGAATCATTAAAATGATAAGAAAATAAAAGCTAACTAATAAAAAAGAGAAGTAATTTAATATTTAAATAACAAAGTGACATTAAAGTTTTGGTACTATCCCAAACCACATTCTCCTGAAAATTCCTGGCATTCCCTGTGACTTACTCGTTTTATTCCACAGCTCTCGCTGGTATTTGACGGGTTCATTTCTACGTTTTTCAAATTCAAATGAATTATCCTGTAAGAGAGGGAAAAATATAGTTTTTACAGAGGTACAAAGGGAACATTTCATAAATTTATTCTCTTTTTCACAAGCATCCCAAGTGTATTAAACTATGGACACACGTTAAGATTCCCCTGGGGTGATCCCAGAAGTACAAATTTTCAAACCTTTTCTCTTTTACACACCATGATGTATAAGGCAGCCCTACTGAAAACATTTCTCTATATCCGAGTGATTCTCGAGGGGAGGGGAGGGGAGAGTTCAACCCCCACCCCCCAGAAGAGGCATATAACAATCATGGGGATTATAAACAAATTGAAAAAGCTCCCCTAATTTCCTATTCCTAGATGAGAGTCACAGCCAGAAAACTTTGTATCAGGCTGAACCATATGAACTTACTATTTTTTATATAGATCAAAAAAGAGTAAAACATTGAGAATTTCATGTGGTTCAACCTAAGTACCTACCATGCTTATACATTTGAAGACCTATACACCTTTGTATTATAGCATAAAGGTATGAAACTACACATCTTCAAATCAATGTAGTGCTACTCTACATGGCATAAGCTTTGCCCTGAAATTTTCAGGTCCCTTCTAAATGTAGTTGGTGTTTTGACAGTTAATAATCCCATTTATCTTAAAACATGCAAAACAATTCTGGAAAAACTACAGTTATTTCTTGGTTTCCAAATCTACCCAACAGAGACATATGGAACAGCACTACCTCTGTATCTGGCTAGTTAATTTATAATACAACTCTATCACAATAACATCAGCAATGACAAGGTCACCAGCAAATGACTGGAGCTGGCATCCTTTCTTCACTCATACAGTTGCCACCTACATCTGAGGTGCTTGTATCTTCTCATCCATACTGAAAATCAGTTTTGTAACAGTAATTGTAATTTGGCCTTGCATCTTGTCAAAACAATATTCATTACATTCAGTGAAAACCTCTGGTGTTAAGGAAGCCAGCAAAGGGCTTCATGGCAATTGCTTAGATACTGCCTTTAAGGAGTAGGGAGATGGGAAAGAAATCGTGGGTTTGGGGGAAGAGGAAGTCATGGAGGGAGGGGACAGTTTAGATCTTCCTCCCGCAAGGGTAGCCTGTGCTGCAGTGATCATCTCCTTCCTCTGCAGGGGCTGAATGTGGACATGCTTCCCCAGATCCTTATGACCAATTCAGGAATAGCAGCAATATGATGACAGGGGCTCACAAGTGAAATTCCCTCATCCCCACTATTCCTCCTCACACCAATACTATGAACTAATTTCTCTGCTCTCAGACACAAAGTCCTGCTAAGAAAATCCATAAACTGATAAGTGAGTCTATGACACATCTCATCTGAGTCCTCACTGCTGTTCAGGAATCCTTTAATGAATCTCTTAACTTCCTCTCAAAATCCCTAAGTAGCAATTTCCAACTTCACCCCAATCCATTTAAATGATTTTCCCCTTTCTTTTCAAAAGCTAAAAATAGTTTTCTGAGAATAAGAAAAATCACTTCTACAAACTGGATTACAAATTTTTTTCCTTTTCAGAATTCTACAGATTTATGGTTTTTAGGATCATGTGAGAATTTTTACCATAACCAAATACAAGTAAGTCACCCATCAATCATGTTATAGGAAGCTTTGTTATAGTCAATTAAATCACATAACCCACCCCCACCCAAAAAAACCTGAAATTTTTACACTGTAAAAATTATACTCACCACTGTAAGCTCTTTACCAGCTGCTTTACGAAATGCTTTAGTCCACCTGACCTTGCGAGGATTGCGCTTCTTTTTAAAGTTTTTATGACACTTGGATTTACAAAACCTGAACACCTACAAAAGTTAAAATAGAAGTCAATATTAAAAAATTTTATATCATAGGACGTTATCCCTCGCAGACAAAATATACTGTAAAGTCTGAGAAATGACAATGTTTCTGACTCACAATTGCTTCTACTTACAATACCATTTAGAAATGTGTGGATGTGTCAGATTAAATGGAAATTGAACTATTTTTTTACTATCAAGCCTCATCACAACTAAAAGCTGGGGGGCCCTGAAAATACAGTTAAAAACTACCATTTTTATAAAATAACAGTAAAAACCCTATAATGATCTTGAATCAGGAATAGTTTTAATGAAAGTCATTTATTTAAATCACTTCCCATTTTAGATTAATTCTCAAAATTCACTTTCTATATACCTCAGTGGGGGTAAGTTTCATCAAACTACTTTCTGAAATCTCCTTTGGTTCTTTACATCCTTGCGCAAAATAATTTCTGAAAGCAACTAAAACTGGCTATAGATTTGTTTTCTAAAATCTACTAGGAAGATTCGTCATTACCTTAATTCTCTACCTTCATCCTAAATGATGTGATCCGTTAATATTGCCTGCAATTTAATGATGCCTCAGTAATACCGCAATGTGCTCCTGAAATGGCTTATTGGGACTCATTGTGTAAGTCTAAAATGCATTATTTTGTTACTTTTGTCTTAGAACACATTACAATTTGTGTGTTACTAGAATATGAAGAGAAAAAGTAATTTTCTGAGTTAAATTGTCACACCTAGATGTTAGCCATTTTTAAAAATATGTCAAAATGAGGTATAAACATTTCAAACTAGGTAAGCCAAGGTAATACTTGTATATGTCACAAACCGAAAAACTTGTCATTTTATCTACACTTTGTTCTATGGGGAACTTGAAGCAGGTCATTGTACATACTAGGACATACTTTTCTTAGAAATGGTCAATACTAGGTTAATCTGATCTAAGCCCATACCTCCTGGAGAGCCCTTTTCTGAGAGTCTTGAGTGAAAGTTTGTCTGTATTTTTGAATTAATTTCAACGTAACTATAGAAAATAAGTACTACAGTCTCCTAGAGTAACTCACTATGAAACCATTATCAGTAAAATTTCTTTGAGCATTTTCAGCCCAAAGTACTATAACCTTTTTAAATAAAACCCTCCTATTTTTAATACCTACTAGATAACTCCTAGACAAATCCCCATTTCTGAGATATTTCTAATGAGGGATTTGAACTTGTCCTGGGTTTCCTCAATTCCAAAATGAGCCAATGGGAAGTTACAGGGAAGTCTACTTGAACTCCATACCTAATAGCCGTTATCTGACGAGTACAATGAAGAATCTAAGAGACTGCAGTCATTGGAGATGGGAAGGGGATTCCATCAGCAAATAAGGTGCATCTACTATGTGTCTGATGTTGTACTAGGTGCTAGGGATACAAGAGTAAGTAAAACACAAATCCCTTCCTTGAGAACTTAGGCTAGCAAGCTAAGTATGATAAAGTCTCACTTTGTAATTAAGAGAGATTACGATCAGGCTAGGATATAAAAAAATGGGATAACGCTATATAAAATAATCATGTATAAAGTAATACGGACACACACAATAAGGTGATTAAACCTACCATGGGGTAGGTGGTGGATGGACTGTGTAAGACAAAGCTTCACAGACTCAAGTTTCCCTTTTAATCTAGTACTCTAGCATCATCCTCAGTCTTCAACCTGCAAAGGATCTATCTAATCACACCTCACTCAAAGTCCTGCAGCCCTTTCTTATTCCACTAATTCAACATTTATTAAGCACTCATTAAGGGTGTATGTATTTTTCCTGTTTGCAGACTATGTGAAATTATGGAGCATTATCACTAATTCCACCTTTAAGAAGCTGCCCAAGAAGTTTAAGAGGGGAATTCTCTATGAAAGATGGTCTCAAAAACTAAGAGCATAAAGGCAGAAAGACCAGTTAAGAGGCTAGAAAAGAGACAAGTGCCTAACCTGGAACCGGGGCAGGAAAACAGAAAGAGAGCAAAGACTCCACTATCCTTTGCAAAGGCAGAATGAATAGCACTCTTAGTAACTAGATACAAAAGGTGCAAGATTCAAAGATGACTCTTACATTTATAGCAAAACTGTCTAGCAGATGACAGTGGTATTAACTCAGAGAGCAAAATGATCCGAAATAAGGAACTTTCTTTCAGTGGGCTCACTGTTAGGTACAAACAGGATTATCCTGTCAAGTGGAAAATTCAGACCTGGAGCTAAGGAGATACATATTTGGGATTCACCAACACAGATAAATGAGACACAGGCATATCTCGTTTTATTGCACTTCACTTTATGGCACTTACCAGGTGCTGCATTTTTTACAAACTGAAGGAAGACCCTCCACCAGCAAAAAGGTTACTACTCACTTTATTGTGGTGTTCGGGCACCGAACCTACAGTATCTCTTAGGGTATGTCTGTACTCTTTCTTCATTAGTGCTTCAGGGTTTCCACTACTTATTTCCCCAATCAATTTGTTCTGGATCCACTGGTCTCCCCTGTCCTTGCTAGGAACATAGACTTCCTCATCAACTCCAATTTCCCAAGTGTCTGCCAGATCAACACTCAACTCTAAGTAGCTCCCACAATCTGTTGTTCTAATCCCAACAGCCAACTGACAAGCATTGCTGGACAAAAACCATAAAATCATGATGACCAGACCATCTACAAAGCCATATTCCTCACTGTGAATTTGACTCCAACCTGACAATGACTCATTTTACAAATTTCTTTATCATGTTCCTGAGAACAGGTATTCAAAATCTTCTACATGCTCTTCTAAGTCCCCAAACATAGCTTTGGCCCCTCACCTTCAGTAAGAACCCTTGCTCCTAAATTAATGAGCTCAGTATCTTCCATCTATAATAGAGAGATGAGGCAATGAAGTAGGAACTGTAATTCTTCAGCTTGTCAAAATCACCTCCTAGGGGTGATTGTCCAACTCAGTGGATCTGGTAGAAGCCAGAAATCTGTATCTTTTATATGTGCCCAGTGATCAGAAGCAAAATAAGACGTCAAATTCTGAGAAACAATGTGCTAAAGAAACAGAGGAATAAGTTTCATTCTAATAGAAGGCAAATTCATGCATTACCAAACTCTTTCACGACCAGGTCTTAAGGTATATCTATATGTGTGTATCTTATATTTATAGACTAATCTTTTTGCATATAGCCTTATGTGTGTATTTATAGTCCTACCCCAAGCCTCTATCACCATCCACAATACAGAGACGTGATCGCTTCATTCCGTGCCTTTCCTTAAAACTGTTCACTAAACTTCCACCTAGAATGCCCTCTCCACACTTGCTCACGCAAAATTCAAGATCCAGGATAAATGTCATCTCCTTTCTAAGCCTCTGCATATACGACCCTCCCCAACTCACCTCCGATACTACCTCCGTCTCCTATTAAGCTACATACAACATTCCTATCACCCTCTACACACAGTGGACAGTCCCCAGTCTTACTCATCTCTGTGCTACGCACCTTAGCGACGACGCCTGACCCGCCGCGCGTTCAACAAAGTCTACCCAACTGAAGACCGTGCCCACGCGGAGGGGCCGCACTGCCCGACAGGCCCCAGGGTCCCCGCCGGGGCCGGCTGGGCTCGCTGCTAACCCTGCCGCAGCCAACCTCGCCCAGGGTGGCCAGGTGACCAGCTCTGTTGGGGACGCCCGCACGCAGAAAGGCCCCAAGCGGGAGGTCGAGGCCTGAGCTCGTCGCAAAGCCTCCGTCTCTCAGGTGCACACGGGGATCCCGGCCGAACCCCGCGGGCTCGGAACGCCGAGCGGCCAGCTCTCAGGCCCGCGGGAGCGCCCTGGCCCCGGCCCCGGCCCCGGCCCCCTCACCTTGCAGTCGTTGCGGACGAACATCATGCCGTGGCCGGGGTATATGGGCCCGGAACAGAAGTAACACTTTTCTATACGCATGCTGCACGCGCGTGGGGACCCACCACCCAAACGCCGAACTTGAAAGGAAGTGACGTAGCCCCGTCACAGGAAGTGATTCTCTCCGGCGTTCCGGGGCGAGCGTCCTGGCTCCGGCGGGCCCCTGGAGGGCGACCCGAACTGACAGCGCCTCCGTGCGGCCGCGCCGGCGGAAGCACAGTCGTTTGGCGCAGGCGCAGAGCTGCAGCGTCAGCCTAGCCGCCGGGGCTCCGGGAGAGCGGAGCGTGGCTCAGCGCTGCCCGCCGCAGCCGCCGTCCCGCGGCGCCTGGCTTTCCTCCCTCCCGTACCCTGTGACCTGGTAGGTTTGCGCTTGGCGCTCAGAGGGCGTTCCCCGCGTCGGGCTGTGCCTGAGAGCTCGTTTTGTACCCCTTGCCCTCGACCCGGCCCCGGCCCCGGCCCCA